CTTTCAGAAAATTTGGTATTAATAAAATAAACATTATTAACTCTACGTTTAGTTCCTCAAATATTATTTATTTTACTTTTGCATTTTTCATCTGTAGTATTAAAAATCATGTGAGCAATATATTTTCTTTATTACGAAAAAAATTTTCATTGAAATAATTCAGAATCGACATAAATTTCGTTCAACCCCGTGCATGGCACTGGTATGGCACGGGTCAGAATACTAGTATATTTATAAACTTGAGAGGATTAATTGTCATTGCAACATGGGTCATGCCACGTCATTTATTGCCAAATGTGTTGCCATGTCTAGGCACATAATTTTATTTTAATCAACTTTATGTCACTTAATCATTATACAAATGTGGCAATTAATTAAAAGAGTGAAGAAAATGAAAAGCCACATTATTATATAATACTTAAAACTTTTGTCGATAGAGTTTTAAATAAATATAAAAAACAAATATACACGTAAAATTTAAAATTTTTAAAATTTCCTAAACAATTTTTCTATTCCCTTCACTTTTTAACATTAAATAAAAATTATTCATTACACTTTTTTAAATCCCTTCACTTTCATACTATTTAAAAAATATTCATTTCTTTATGACAACATATGTTTTAAATATGCATAAGCATTCAGTTATTTAAAAAATTAATATATACTTTATTAATTAAAAAAATATTGTATATAAATTTTAAAACTATGCACGGTACCATTTATTTTTTTCTATTACAGAGTACTTCAAAAAAATTACATAAATTCATCTCTATGCATCTTTATGAACTACATTCTTTAATTCAAACTTTTATATAAACTTTATCACATATACATCTTTATTAGCTACTCCCTCTGTCCCGAAATGGTATTCATGTTTGACTTTAATTTTCTTGGTCAAAGTTCGTAAACTTTGACTCTAATTTGTAGAAAAAATATATTGAATTATGATATAAATTTAATATCAATATATTCCTATTAAAACGTACATAGTTTTGAAATACAAAACTTTTGTTAAATTTAAATCTATGTATACATATAAATATTAATGGTTAAAGTGCAACATTGGAGTCCGTAAAAGGTCAAATGGGTAGAATATTTCTGGAAGGAGAGAATATATAATTTATTTTAGAACTTTTCATCATACTTTATTATATACGTGTCTCTATATGCCAATATAGTGCGATTTAAATTAATTTCTTTCTTTCTAATCTTATGTAGATTTTATATTTTTGTAAAACTATTTATGTTTTTATCCAATTATTTTTTAAAATAAAGTGTTAAAGTTTTTTATAAAAAAAATTAGTAAAACGACACCTTTATTCCATGCGTCATATGCAGGGGCGGACCCACGTAGAGTCACACCGGGTCACACGACCCCACGGAAATTTTGAAACTTTTTATACTCCATCCGTTCCACAAAACTCTTTCTCTTTCGTTTTTTTTTGCTTTCTACAAAACACTTCTACTTTCTATTAGAAAACCACTTTTACCCCTACTTTTTCATACCCTACCTATCACATCATACTTTTTCACTAATAACCAAACTATCACATCTTACTTTTACCATCACATCAGGGGCAAAATTGGAAAGTCAATCAAAATTACACTTTCCTTATGTTTCCCCAAAGTCAAAACCGGAAGGGTTTTGTGGAACGGAGGGAGTATATATTTATATATATTTAGGTAGATATATATAGGGTTGTTCACATTTAGGTCCGGACCGAAAAAACCGACCGAACCGGACCGATAGGTCCAGACCGAACCCGGACCGAATGGATTTCGGGTCGGTCTTCGGTCCAGAAAATTTTATCATTCGGGTTTCGGTCCGGTCCGGTCCAAACCCGAAATGATTTAGGTCCGGACCGATTGGACCGGTTGGACCTAATGACCTACTGGACCTAAAAGACCTAAATACTAAAACTCTACTTTTTAAATTTCGTATTACACTTTGATGCTCTATTTTAATAAATATTTTAATTTATTTAATTTAAAGTGTTTTTTATTAAGTAATTTTAAAAAAATCTTTAAAAAAAATATTTCATATTTGTTTTTATGGTTCTACATTGAAGTAGTTCATATTGTTTATCCATTTTAAAGCTGCCTATTTTTTTTATTCATTTTCTATTTGAATGGTACAAAGTAAAAAGTCTAAAATATATTTAATTGATCAAAATAATTAAAAAAAATATAATTTTTTCGGTCCAATCGGTCCGGACCGGTTCGGTCCTAAATATTTCGGTCCGGTCCGGTCCAAACCCGAATGGATTTAGGTCCGGTCTTCGGTCCAAGAATTTACTCATTTCGGTCTTCGGTCCGGTCCGGGTCGGTCCGGTCTTGGACCGATGAACAGCCCTAGATATATAATGTTATTATGTATTTAATGAAGCGTGTTCTAACAAACAAGGATGTGTGGACGATAGGTTCTCTACAATAGAAAGTCGTGTAAAACATAAAAATGACAAATCACATTTTATATGTGTCACTTGCTATATTCGATTTCAGATTTCTCTTTCGATCGAAATTTGAGTTAAGTGTGCATGTGGTTACAATTGTTTTTCGTAATAATTTAACCTAGTCTGATGTATTATTCAATTCTAAACGATCGAAATAAGAAATTTTGTTAATTACAGGGCGAAAACAGTTATCCAGTCTTCAGAGAAACTGTCCCGTTAATTATTTTTTTGTGAACATTTTCTCTCTCTCTCTCGTGTAGTGTTGTCTCCTGCCTTCCATGTTTGGGAGCTTTCCCTTTGCACGTATGATATGCATTATTAAATGCCTCCAAACGGCAGTTTCCTAATTTAGGTGTTGCAAATAGTGTCCTGCCTTCCATGTTTGTGGTCATTATTGTGGCCTGCTCTCGTCAGTCCTTTCACAAGTCTTTTGGTTGGTGACAATAAACATTTGGCTTAGGCTAAGGTTTGTTACTTGGCAATTTCTTCCATGCCTTGGGTAATGAATGGGTATGGACGACCCTCTAGTGAACTCTTACCTTGTAAACTTTTTAATCATGTAAATAAATGAAACATTCCTCATCATTTTAATTTTTGAAAATTACATAATAACCCCATTTTTTCCTTTTACTTATCTAAGGGTCTTTTCTTTTGAATGAAAATTTATTAACAGCATTTTTCAATTCTTTTCCGTTTTTTCAACCACTTCAAGTTTATTCCAATAACAACTTAATTTTTTTAAAAAAATAATATTCCTGTTACATTCTTTATAATTATAATTATTACTATTGCTACTAATGTCATTATTGTTATCACCATTGTAATTAAAATAAAATAAAGAATTGAAGTAATAACACAATTTTCATACAAAAAATATTTATTTCGTCCCAACAACATATACGGAGTATTAGTTATCATTATAGAGTCAACGTAAAATATTAAAATGTTAAACGAATTAATTTATTATACCTACATTCCTCTTTGTAATTTTGTATTAATCCATAATTTAGTTTATTCTGTGTGTTTGTTCTTTCCCTGAGTGTTCTTCTGAGTTGAGTTGCTGTTGTGGTTCCATCTCGTATCTGTTATCTGTCATCCTTAATCTTTATTATTTTTTTGCATTTTTATCGTTTTTAGAACTATAATTCAAATCCCCCATATCTTTTATAATTAGTTTTAGTTTTCTAGATTTTAGTTAGTTGTTTTATTCAATAAAAGTGACAAGTGAACATATTTTCATAGCCTAAAAAGTATCTTTCCTCGTGGGATCGACCCTTACTTATCCAATCTATATGTTTTAATGAATATTAATTCATAAAGGAGGATTAATATTTAAGTTAAGGAAAATAATAAACTAATTTGTAGGTACTACGACACGCCTATCTGGTCCATCTTCTTGCTAATTCCAGTCCAACACATGAGACCGGGTCTTCATCTTCTCAGGCTCGCCGCAAGTTAGTCCGGGGATCCACCCCTCCCCAAGGCTCGGGATTTTCCACCGGCGTGGCCATGGGGACCCCCGGAGACAAGTACACAATGTACTCTTTTCGTCCTAAATTAAATTGTCTGTTTTACTATTCAAAAGGTCAAACTCCATTTACATTCTTTTCCTATTTTCGTTAGTCATTTGATAAAATTATATAGTCATGTCACTAGTAATTTTGTAAATCTTTTGATGTGCTTTTTAAATACTGCATCCGTTCCTAAATCATTTACTCTTTATGCAAAATAAAATAAAATATCAAATGTTTTCAATTCATTTTATTTAAAGATTTATTGGTATATAAATAAAAAATTGAAACTTACATATTTTAAAAATACATTAAAAGTTCTACGAAATAATATGTGACAAGAATATTTTATTTTTGAATAATAAAGCGTGTAAATCATTTCGGTCAAGTTTTAGTATATCCAAATCCGCCCTGACTAAGGCCAGATTAGGGGTCCTCTTTGTCGGATCGAGTTTGGATGTTTACTTTTGGGCTCGAATTCGGTTTAAAATATGGTCGGACAGGTAACAATCAAATTTGGGTTTCAATACTAATTAATGCATTCATGATTAAATTAAGATTGAAATACATTAAAAAATTAAAATTTTAAAGATGACATAAAAGTTTAGATATTAGAAAAAATAATTATGACCAAATGACTTCTAAAAAAATTAAATAGTAAATTCTCAACTACTAATATGCGGTGTACAAAGAAAATACTAGTAAAAGTAGTTTATTATCAAAAATATTATTATACTAGTAAAAATGTAGTATTAATATACCGAGTATATAACAAAAAAAAAGTTTACTTTTTCAAATGATCAATGAAAATATGTATATAATCTTAAGTTATGGAGAAGCTTCAAAAAGTAAACGGGATGAAGATTTTGGGATATAGGGTGTACTTGATAGCCTTTGACAAAAGATTCAACTTTAATATTTGGATATTCTATTGTTTTTATTGACATCAAAACTCCGAATTTTCTTTTGGATCGAACATTGAATCAGTTTTGTCAATGCGAAAGTTTCGGATATTGGGAAGATTAGATTGGATCGATCAGAATAAACACCTCTATTTGTCATGGGAAATTAATTGACATTGGCTGTGTTTGGAAAATAGCTTTTAGAAAAAAAAATGAGCACATCAAAATTGCCTTAGAGTAAGGTTTAGACGGCCAGGTATAAGCGCCGTTTCTTGTAACAACGGCAGAGGACACGAGTTTGGAATGATTTGCTTCACGCCATGATAAACGAGTCTAGACTTGCCACCGAATATAAACACATCTCCTGAATCCAACACAACCTTTTCGCACTTTGTTTTATCTCTAGAATGACCGTACAAGAATTCTGCAGAGTCGCCAATGGAGATGGAAACCACAGGCAGTCCTCTTCGGAGACTATCATAGCTCTCATCACGATCCTATGCTCATACAAAAACACACAAAAAAAACTCCACCATTTCAAATCATTTACATACAAATGATATAGAGGTAAAATTTACCCTCATCTCACCCTCCACCTTATATACTCTGCTCTCTCCGTCCCAAAAAGAGCCGCCTTTTATTGTTTACACGGTTTGATTGAAATTATTTTCAAACCAATTTATTTGAAAATTGGTAAGGAATTAAAAAATAATATTTATATATTTAAAAGCTACATCAAAAGTTGAACAAGAGGTAACAAGACTACATTCTTTTCTCAAATGGGTAGCGAAATGGGCAAAAAAATGTGGCTAAAGTTTGACCTTATAGTAAATAAGTAACTTAAATTGGGACGGAGGGAGTACTTTTTAAGAGTGGATATTTTACTATTACTTGTATGTGCATATAAAAACTAACCTGATGGAGGCCAAGTCGACCAGAGAGTTGATAGAAATTTACTATACAAATATCTGGGTGCATTGAAGGAAGTTCAACCAGATGGGCTTGAGCATCCTGAACTATGGTTTTAGTCAATGAAATAAGTTCTTTTGGAAGCGGGGGTGGTTCAGAACCATCACTTCTGTAACGTTTGTTATACTTGGTTACCGGATCCCAGTTTCGACCAAAACACATCATCTGGAATTGAAGTTTCGCTCCATTTTGGAAACTAGGCTGGTAAAAGCCCCCGGGGCCCATGCCCCACTTTTGACATACATTCACCATATCAACCTGAAACATTAACTCCGGGTCAAAAAATTTCAAGTATTTCAACATGTAAATTAATTTCACTGTTCCTAATCAAAAATTTCAAGTATTTCAATATGTTAGCCTTAACTTGTGATATTGCTTTTCCTTATAAAAAAAACTAGTGATATTGTGAAAAAGAGTAACAAGGGCCAATCACTCTACTTTAGCATCGCGCTTTTAAAGACCAAAAATCGGATAGACAAAAGGTGCGAAAACCACACAACTAACAAAATATACCTGGTCTTTGAGGCTGATGTAATTTTTAATAAGAATCATTCCGGATCCAAGTATGTTATAAGTTGGCAGTTTGCTGGCAGTCCTTTCACACACTGATTTTGTGGTCAGCTCAGGGCAGATTAAACTAAACGGTTTTGTTTCACCCAAACCTTTAGCGAATGGAATGTTGTGAGACTGTCTTGATATTCCGAATAAAGGACCACAAACAGTATTCTGCATCTGCAAGGACATACAGTAATTTGTAATTAATATTAAACAATGTTATCATATTATATAAACCATACATATGAACATGAAGAGATTGAATCGCTCACCCGAAAAGACAAAGATGAACGTAATGCTACCATTCGAATTGAGAAGGGCATGGTTTAAATCAGCCAATCGGGGATCTAGAGGGTTAAGGCGGGCTCAACCTTTCTGAACGCCGGAAGCGAATTAAAAAACAGGGGCCTTTTATGTAAAATAAAAATGTAATTAGAAGTGAGACACGCATATAACGAGGCTAATAAGTATAAAGTAGTGACTGTATTTAAGCTACCTTTACACGCAAAAGATTAATTATAACCATAACACACAAAAAATAGCTTAAACTCAAATTATGCTTTACGGGATCATAATAAATTGATTCTACCAAGTACCAACTATGGTTTACAATAAAGGTCATTGGAAATAGTTTGTTCCTAAGATGACACATTTTTAAATAAAAGTCCAATAAATGTCCAGTGTATATAGTGCTTTGAAGCTGAGATAAATACCTTACAGATGTCCTAAAAGTAATCAACAAGGCAATGAGCCACGCCAATCTTCTAACCGTTATGTTATTGTGTGACGGTAAAGGATTTATAAGTCAATAAGTCAAAGGAGTGAAACGTGGTTCCTGCATAATGAGTCCCCAACATTAACAGCCCTTTTGTTCCATCAAACCAACATCCTAAAGGATTCCCTAAAAATGGTTAATTAAACAACATATAATGTGCAACCTGCTACTTCTATTGCATGATTTGCAACCCTTGCAATGTGGTCAATGTGCATTAAAAATTGCTTATCTGTTAAAGATTGGTAAGGAATAAGGAATGAAGATATGAGAGCTAAAGTTGGAGTGACACCAACTGTAAGAAAAATAGTGGAAACTCGTCTTAGATGGTTTCGACATGTGGAGAGAAGACCAATAGAGCATCCTGTGAGAAGGGTTGATCAAATGGTGATTATGCATGTGGCTGGAGGAAGAGGTAGACCTAAGAGGACTTGGCAAGCATTGATCAAGTGAGACCTTCGCGTGAACAATCTCACAACAGATATGATACACGATAGGGTGCAATGGCGTCGTTAGCCGACCCCACCTAGTGGGATAAGGCTTTGTTGTTGTTGTTTTTTGTTGTTGTTGTTGTTGTTGTTAAAGATCGGTATTGCTGATACACAGCCTACTCTGCAATTTCTGTTTTCCCAATAATGTCAAGTCTTATTCAACTATCACCTCTGCAATGCTGTTCCATACTTCCATTAAACCTATAAAGTGTCCTTCATATTTTGATCAACTTACGATGCACAACTTACTACTTCTGATGCATAATGTACAACCCAATGACTGCAGCATTGTCCTTGTGTATTCAGTCCTCAAATCATATGATACATTCTTACACACTTTAATTCCTAAGTCTTAATACATCAATGAACAGAGCCGGCTCAAGCTTTTTGGGGGGCCAAAGCAAATCATTAAATTGAAACCCTTTTTATAAAGAAAAAAAATAGTTTTCTTTTCTTAATTATGGTCCACAAAATTTGAGAACCAAGAAAGGAAATCGACTGCATATATCTGCACGTGTTATAAAATCTTGTTATCTTGCAACAATTACAATTTACGGGCATGTCGTTGGCTGATTACTCTCTATATTATTACACCTATGATTGTGTAATCTCTTCTAATTTTCTATAGAATCCATCTATCTATATTTGTTATATATAAAAGAAAATACATATAAAGAGAACTACTATACAATAGAAAATACTCCGTAACAAAAAGTGGAGAGCAACTTACTAGGTGGAGTTGCATTTCCTTTTGATCTGGTCTACAATGGTGATATGTTATGGTCAGCTAGAAATTTTTCTATGGTTGCAATAAGATACAAGTGAAAAATATTGGTTTAAAAAATCAAGAGTCAATGTGCATGTTATGGGTTAAAAAGGTCAAGGGGTAAATGTCAAGCCTTAAGGTTTTGTGGTTCAACCAAAAACTTAAGTATACCTTAAGCACCATTTTTCCTCTAAAGCTTAATTGTCCGTCCCAAACATTAAATTAGATTGTCTGAAACACAAAATTATCATAAAATATGACCATTCAAGTTTCTAAAGTAAACAATTCTAATGTCCATTCAATTTTACCATCACGTCTCGATGAAATCAACTCCGGCATACGTAAAAATTAATTTATCAGAGCACAGAAACTCAAGGGAATCATTAATCACTGCGATACACACTCTAACCAGACTCTAATTTGAAACAGTGCCCAGCCCTTGTAGACAGTAACTTGGTTGATGAATATGACAAATTCTGTGTTGATCGAACACATCAACAACATAATTCCCAACAACAAGAAGCAAACAATCCAACCACTTGTTCTAAACGATAAACTAACGAATCCGATTTTCAACAACTCAATTTCATAAAATAAAAACTAGTTCAGCATAAATAAGAAGATCATCAACCATAAAAACAACAGCTCCATCGGCAGAAATTAAACGAAAAAACCTTAGTGTAAAACAACAATTCCGCTACCAGTAAAAGAACCGACGATATTACCTGTTCAACCAGTCCCTTCCATAGTTCCATGTACTGCCCTACTATGAGTCTATGATACGTTGTAGTTTCATAGTTAGTACTTGTAAGAGCAATGCTAGGGTAGATCAAAGTTGTAATGTACACCACTCTCTTCCCCATTATCTATTTTTATTTATTTATTTTTCTAAAATTTTTTGCCATTTTTTTGTAGACAAGGAGGGGGTGGGAGACAAATGGGGCACACATTTAGTGTACCCAGCATTTTTCTATTTTTAAACCAGCCTATGAGTTATGACAGGGTACTGCCGGGTACCTTTGTTTAATGATAAGAACTCAGGGATCCTATCTTTTTCAAAATTATATTTTGGATACATTTAATTATTCGAAAACTAACTCTCGAGATATTTCATTTATTCCTCCATCAAATTCATTTTTTCTAATATCTTTTCATCATCTTCTTCTCCAGAAATTACTGTTAGGTACCTCCAATTTTGTAAAAATAATTTTTAAGTCCCATCATTTTTAAAAATATACTTCGGGGTATCCTAAAATATCAACAAACTTACTCTAGGGATTTTCCTTTTTTTCCTTTATTATTATTATTATTATTATTATTATTATTATTTATTATTATTATTATTATTATTATTATTATTAGTATTATTATTGTTATGATTATTATTACTATTACTATTACTATCACTATTATTATTATTATTAGTATTATTATTAATAGTAACAATAATAATAGTACATAATAAAAATAATACTAATAATAATACTTCAATAATATTAATAATAATAAATGAAAAAGCCCTCTAGAGCAAGTTCTTGGATATTTTAGGGTACCCGGGGTATATTTTTAAAATTGATGGGACCCGGAAGTTGTTTCTACAAAATTGAGGGTACCTAACAGCAATTATTGAGAAGATGATGATGAAAAGATAACAAAGAAAATGAATTTGACGTTGGGATGGACGAAATGTCCTCGAAGTTAGTTTTCATATAATTAAAGGTACTCCGAAGTATATTTTTAAAAAAGATGGGACTTGTGAGTTCTTATCACAAAACCGAAGGTACCCGGCAGCAATTTTTTGGGGTAAATTTGGTAAGTCAAATTTCATACAAATTTTGATTTGGCTCCTCAACTTCAAAATTTTTCATAAAGATACATAAATCACCAAGGTTTCCATGACATTGCCCGGCAATGTCATGGGATGACCCGGGGGTGCTCCGGTGTCTCGTTCGTAAAATTGACGTTTCCTACCCCCTAACCTCCCGCTAACCCCCCCCCC